TTGGTGCCTCTTCCTCTCCTCACTGACAGGTTTTTGAAAAAGCTCTTTGGTTTTAGAGTAGTGGCTTGAGCGGCTAAACATGAAACAGAGAAAAGCTAATAGACCTGTGTTGAAATCAGAGCTGTTCTCCTTTGTGCTGATCGGTCTAGGCATGTACTAGAGCTTTCACACATCATATCTTGGATGTAAATTAAATAGTTGGATACAGTGCTGAGTCAGTTTGAAGACTAGGCTTATGAAAGAAATTCTGGTGTTCACACCTAAAAATATATGCGTGGTTCTAGTAAACAGCAAGAAAATTAATTGTGAACATAGTAAGCATTTTTTTTTCCCTTTGGCCAAGCCAGTGTTTTATAAGCCCTTAGGTGCATGATTACATTTAATCATCATAACAGCAAAGTGAGGCCAAGAGTATGTCCCATTTTACAGCGTACGGAACACCACCCCAGACAGCAACTGGTTTGTCAGAGGTCACTCTGTTTTCAGTATCTTCAGTATCTCACGTAAGGGGAGTGCTTCGGGTAGCAGAATGTTTTAGCTCTTTTCGTGTGTCCTTTAACACCTGTATGGAGAGCTGCTGCTGGCCCCATACCAAATAAGGAAGCTGAAGCTCCCAGAAGTGAGGTCTGTTCTTAATGTTAACACAGCCAGTTGGTGTCCTAGCTCTGTTGGAATGCCGTGTCTTTTGGCGTCCAGGCCGGCGTCCTTTCTGCCACACCAGGCTACATCCCAGCTAATGCACAAGAAGACCTAAACCTGTACCAAGTGGGGGTTCTGCTTTGTTGTCCCTGTGCTTCAGGAGCCAAGACTTCTTCAGCCCAAACAAGAAGGCCGTTGCCTGGAAGCCTCAGACAACCCTACGAAGGGCAGAGAGCCAGATAACGATAGGCCTTTGAGTAGGGCCAGTGGGCACCAGCCAAGCAGTGTGCATGCTTTATGTGGAAAAGTTTACGGGTCTTCAGCCCTTTTCCACAGTCCACAGTGCAGAACACCACCACCTTTATTTACCAGCGAAGGCAAGAGTTCCGTCATCTTTTCATTTAGTTTCACAGACTTTTCCAGTCACTGACACCTCCCACTGTAAATCCTCAGGTCTGTATTACTCCTTCCTTCTTTCCTCTTCTTCCTGTCACCTAACTCCTGTTCCTTGTTAGAGGCCATCCCCTCAGAGTCTTCCTGGATGCACCAGACTGGAGAGCAAGAAGTTCACTTCATGACACTTGGCATTTTTATGCAGTCCTTGTCTTATACCTGTGTAGCTTTGGTTGCATACTCTGTGTGGTTTCCTGGCACATAATACAGGCAGCAGCAATGGCTAACACTTAGGAAGAGCCTGCCTTATGACAGGCATTATTCTAAATACTTTAGTTTCTTACTGCCACATTGCTTCTCAAAACAACGTGTATTGAAAGCAGATTCCTTCTTTCCCATTTTATAGATGAAGAAATCGTAAAGCTCAGAAAATTTAGGTCAATGTCTCCAAGGTTATGTAGTTGATACAGGGCTGAATCAGGAACTAGGCAGTCTGTTCTAGTTCTGGAGTCCATGTTCTTAACCACTGTACTGTTCTGTCTCTGACTGTATGCCAGGCACTGTTCTAGGGCTTAGAAACTCATGTAACTCCCACAGCAGGCATAGAAAGTATAAGTATTCATGTTTCCTCTGTGCAGTGACATTGAGTTGTTTGTCCAAGATCATCGCTGTAAGTGTTCCAGGCAGGATTTGAACCAGGGTCTGTTTGGCTCTGGAGCCCATGGCCCAACCTTCTACATCATACCACTGGTCTTTGATTTTTGGTCTCTTAGAAATCTCTGCTTTCTGTTAGTAAACCCCTCAACAGCAGAGCCTGTGTGTAGTCCCCGCTTCCCCTCTTGCCTGGTAATAGGCCTGCCTTATAGAGGCTACTCAAGAGATGTGCTGTGTGAATGAGTGACCGAGGTGGTAAAATGGGTTAGAAACCATTGAATCTGCAAGGTGAGATTAAAAAAGGAACAGAATTTCCTCATTTTAAAAATTACATAATAATTGTTTTGCTCCATCATTAAAATTTCCTTGCAATCCAAGGAAAACATGGATGAGGAAGGAGATAGGAAAAGGTAAAGTCCCATTACGGGCTCTGCTTCTGCCCTCATATTTAAGATTGGCAATGCTGACTATTAACAAAGACTTACCTCACTCCACGCTTCATTAGGGATTTAGAAAACACAGTATTTAGTTGTGGTCAGAGTTGAATACAGGGTGCAGAGGTTTCTGGTCCTTGTAAGAGAAGCCAGCAGCCCGTGGTTGTGGTGCCATCTGGAGATGGCAGGTGGTGTTACCGCTCCTCCAGTTCTAAGCCCAGGTCAGAATTCGGTTTGGAAAATGCATTTCCTGTTGAGTCACTAAAGTCCCATTTCATAATAGTTTCTCTGTGACTTTAGGCTTTGATCAAATCAGTTTTCTGTTCTTTCTGTTAAAAAAAACAAAAAAACCCAAGACCTGTTTTCCATTCAGATAGTTAAGTTCAAATTTGGAGTTGTTTGACTAATCATAAACCCTTCACTAAAAGTAGGTGTGTATCAGGATGAAAGCAAACCTGTGATGCTGGGGGTGGTAAGCAGCACGGGTCAGTCTGGTGGAGAGAGGCAAGGTAGGTTTTCTTTTGCCCTCTGTGCTTGTTCACAACTGCATTGTTTAAAATTTGCTGAATGGTGAGGGTTCAGGGGAAATCAGGTGACGTCTAGACTTGGGCCCTTAGAAGGCACATTTGTTTTGCCATGATTGGCATAAGGGGTTATAGTTAGCCTGGGCAGATTTTAGCTGTAAGAATGAATGATCACTTAATTCGTGACTTTTTCCCATTCTTCAGGATGGCAGACTTTTTCTTCTAATTTTTTGCAGGACAGCAGAACTGAGCTGAACCTTAAACACTCATCTAATCCAGATCTCTGCCTTCCCTAAGCAGTTGAAAACAGACAGTTGTTTGTCTCCTTAAAAATCCCCAACAAAGGAAAATTCTGTTTCTCACTTGTTCCACTGTTGAGCATGATTTTTCACTGGCAAGTTCTACATTTTCCACGAATTAGTTCCTTAAAATCTTTGGTGGTAAATTTACTTATTTTAATATATTACTTAAAACATTTGAATTGTTTAGTATATTTTAAATATAAAATATATTTTAAATATAATATATTTAAAATATATTAACTTACTTAATGTGTTTTAATCTCTGTATACAAGAAGATAGTTATTTTAAACTTTAGCCTTTTCACAAACTTAAATATTACTTAATGTCTTTTCTGCAGGATTCTTAGTGCTACTCAGCTTAGTGGTGTCTCATTTCTTTCTTCCTGGAGGGTGTCTCTTAACCTGTTAGAATTCAGGTCTTCCACTGTCAAAGTTTTTTGTCCCTTCTGTCTAATGCTTTTCCCATCCCCATCCCCCTCTGCCACCCAGTCATGTCCCCAGCTAAGATACGATGAATCTTCTGTGTGTCTCCACCAGTCAAGAGGATTTTTTAAACTGCTTCATTGAACTATAATTCACATACAGGTCACCCACTTAAAGTGTACAATTTAAGGTCTTAATTTATTCACAGATACATAAAACCATCACAGGAGACAATTTTAGCACATTTCATCACCTCAAAAAGAAACCCTGTATCCATTAGCTATCCCTACCTCTGAGTCACTAGCACTAAGCAACCACTAAACTACTTTGTGTCTCTGTGTATTTTTCTGTTCTGGACATTTCATATACACAGAATCTTGTAATATGTGGTCTTTTGGAACTAGCTTTTTTTATTTAGCATTATATTTTCAAGCTTCATCCATGCTTTAGCATGAGTCAGTACTTAGTTTCTTCTAGGGACAAGTAGTATTCCCCTGTATAGCTATATCACATTTTGTTTATCCATTTCTCAGTTGCTGGACCTTTGGGTTGTTTCTGCATTTTGGCATTCATGAGTAATGCTGCTGTGAACATTCGTGTACAGATTTTTGTGTAGACATGTATTTTCATTTCTCTTGCATTACCTAGGGAGTGATATTGCTGGGCCATATAGTAACTCTGTGTTTAAACATTTGAGAACTGCCAGACTTTTCCCAAGTAGCCACACCATTTTACATTCCTACCAGTGGTGTAGGGGGTTCTGATTGCCCCCCATCTTCACCAGCACTCACCGTCTGTCTTTTGATTATAGCCTCCCCTTGGGTATGAACTGATGTTTTATTGTGGTTTAGCTTTGCGTTTCCCTAATGACTAATAATGACGAGCATGTTTTCATGTGCCTTTAAACTATCTGTATATCTTTCTTGAAGAAATATTCTATTTAAATCCCTTGCCCATTTAAAAAATTGGGTTATTTTCCTTTCATTATTGATTCGTTAAGAGTTTTTTATATATTCTTTTTCACTGTTTTGATTGTGTTCTTTGAAAGGCAGAGTTTTTAATTTTGATGAGGCCGGTTTATTTTTTTCTTTGTAAGATTTTCCTGTGCTAGATATTTCAGAGCTATTACGTATATTTATATTTTCCAAATGTAAAATCACAGAAAACATGGTGTTTTAAAAATGACACCGTCCCTAGGAGCCCTGGTGGGTGGAGTTTGCTCTCCCCTCTAGAACCCTGGCCTCACTGGGGGCTGTCACCCCAGTGCTGCTTCTCATGGGTGCTTCACTTGTTTCCTATTCTTCTTTCATTGTTCTTGTTGTTGTTTTTTCTCCTGTACTTCTAACTGGAAAGTTTTGAATTTAACAGGGAATTTAAAATAAAATCTCAACTATTAAGTACAAGTGGAGAAGCAACATTTTGTAGGCCTGACGGGTGTTCTGATCTTTAATATTCTACTCCATTTTTTTAAAAACCTGCATAGAGTCAGTGTACAATATTCTTTGGCTCTTTCATCCAAAAACCAGTGTGTGTTCTGTTTATACAGAGCAGGTCAGCAAACTGGATGGTCACAGGAAAGGTGACAACGAAAGATCATCCCTCACGATCCCTCTTGCTTTCTTTCCCAACAGGTGTGGCAGATCCCAGAAAATGGACTTACCCTTTCCCTGACCGAACCTGTGGTGATTTTAGAAGGCCACTCGAAGAGAGTTGGCATCGTGGCCTGGCATCCGACTGCCCGCAATGTCCTTCTTAGCGCAGGTAGGAGAGGACAGTAGCCAGTGTTCTGATGTGTGCCGGGCACATCTGAGGCAGCGCACTGGGACTCCTTGATGAGGGGCCGAGATGGGGTGGCTCCCTGGCCCCGCTGCCCCCATGCACACAGCTGTGTGTTGAAGGCCACTTGGGGAGTCTGACTCAAGACTTCTTCCCCAGAGAAATGAACAGATACATTCTTACCTAACATTCCAGCAGATTCATGGCTCCTGTTGGGGGCCTTTCTTGGACCACAGTGTTAGTTTACTCCTTTTATAGCAGGAGGATCCCTGGTAGGAAGCTGGGTACCAGCTCTGAATGTTATTGCCAACTTCAGGCGGATCTTGTTAGTCAAATCTCTTCCTTCTGTTAAAAAGATACTTTGAGTTTTCTTCTTATATACAAGTAGTATATGTATGTTATAGAAAATATATGTAAACAAAAGGAGAAAATAAAATCATTTGTAATCCAGCTACCACCCAGAATATCATCATTGATGTTTCCTTCCAGAAGGTACTTCGTGCACATAAATGTGCACATAGATGATTTTACCTACAAAGATGGGTTCAGAAACTTTACATGTGACCTGCTTTCTGTGCTTACTGGTGTCCTGGTCCTGTTTGGGTGTCATTAAATGTTATTCCTATGATTTTTTTTTTTAAAGATTTTATTTATTTATTTGAGAGTGAGAGAGCTCGAGAGCAGGGTGAGGGTCAGAGGGAGAAACAGACTTCCCACTGAGCAGGGACCTTGATGCGGGGCTCAATCCCAGGAATCTGTGATTGTGACCTGAGCTGAAGGCAGGCGCTTAACCATCTGAGCTACCCAGGCGCCCCATTCCCGTGATATTTTTAACACCGCCATTAGTAGTCTATTAGTAGTCCATTGTCTGGATACCTTCATTTATTTAATTAGGCCCCTATTTCGGGACATTCGGGTTTTCTGGGGTTTTTTTTTACACTGTTGATCAGCATTGTAGTGAACCCTCGAATCAAGATTTAGTATTCCTCTTGGTTTGCCACTTGAGTAGTTTCCAAGTGTTATCCTATAGAAATCTTGTCCTCTGTCTGCAGTTTGAGATTTTATCTTTTATGGAAGCAATACAAAGGTCACAAGGGAGCTTCATGGGATGGTGGAAATGTTGTGTATCTTGATTGTGATGGTGGCTACATGAATATATACATTTGTCAGAATTTAGCAAATGTATACTTTTTTTTTTTTTTTTTTTTAGATTTTATTTATTTATTTATTTGACAGAGAGTGAGATCACAAGTAGGCAGAGAGGCAGGCAGAGAGAGAGGAGGAAGCAGGCTCCCCGCTGAGCAGAGAGCCCAATGTGGGGCTCGATCCCAGGACCCTGAGATCATGACCTGAGCTTAAGGCAGAGGCTCAACCCACTGAGGCACCCAGGCGGCCCGCAAATGTATACTTTTAAAATGTCAGAATTTGTCAGAATCTAGCAAATGTATACTTTTAAAATGGGTGCATTGGATTGTATGTAAATGATACCATAATAAAATTGATTTATTAAAAAGAGTACTAATGTTAGTAGAATTTTTTTTTTTAAGATTTTATTTACTTATTTGACAGATAGAGATCACAAGTAGGCAGAGAGGCAGGCAGAGCGAGAGAGACGAGGAAGCAGGCTCCCTGCTGAGGGATGTAGGGCTCAATCCCAGGACCCTGGGACCACGACTGGAGCCGCAGGCAGAGGCTTTAACCCAGTGAGCCACCAAGGCACCCCAAATGTTAGTAAATTTTTAAAGATCTTTCCCCTCACCAGTAAAAAGGAAGGGGACAGTTGAGTTTTTAACTAGGAATAGAGGGTGTTTATGATATAATAAGGTAAGTTAAAAAACACCAGGTACCTATTGAAACCAAGGGCTACTTTTCAAAAAAGATGCTATCTAAAACTGTTTTTAGTTAAAATCACAAGTGACTCTACCTGGGAACCCTTCTGATGTTCTACTCAGTCTGATAAGGACATAAAACAGTTCCAGAGGTGGAATTCCATCGTGGAAATTTTTCTGCAGCCCCTTGTCATAGAGATCAAACATCAGCTGACTGATCCCCATGCTACCTTTCACAAGCAAAGGAGAACGGTTGATGGCAGTGTTGTGCATGTTTTATGACTACATGATCCATCCATGGTGGCTGAAGTTACACATTTGCCTCTGGTGCACAAGGCAAAGGAAGGGTCAAGTCTCTCCCCAGGGTTCAGCTGCAGCTTTACTGTTGCGCAGGCTTTCCTCGCCCCCAGTCTCCTGTTTCTAGCCCACAGACAATTTAGGTGTCTGGATATCAGTGGCTACGTTTTTTTTGAAGTGCTTACAAAATTGGCTTATTGGCAAGAATTTATCTTCAGGATATCCATCCCTTAGTTTGCTTCCTCCTTGTCCTGGAAGCAACAAATGGCACCTGCTTTTTAAGGAGTCTTGGGTGAGGCACCTACGTGGCTGAATCAGTTGAGCATCTGCCTTTGGGGCAGGTCATGGTCCGAGGGTCCTGGCATTGAGTCCCTCATCAGGCTCCCCGCTCAGCAGGGAGCCTGCTTGAGAGTCTCTCTTCCCATCTGCCCTTCCTCACCCCTTCTCTAAAATAAATCAATCTTTATAAATAAATAAATAAAAATAAAGGGGCCTTGCGCCCGATGCCTGAAGCAAAGTGGAGTCGGTGAGCAGAGGGGTGTGGCTGCATCAGCACTGTGGCCTCTTCAGGGATCAGCTTCTGAACCCACACACCTGCTTGATTACAGTTTGGACTTTGGTCTTGATCTGTTTCTCTCCCCTTTTAAAGATAAAGACCTGTTGTGAGCACATGCATCTCCCTTCCACTTACTTGATTTGCCATGCTTTGATATAAGACCATGTTTTATAGTATTATTGATCTGAATAACCCGCTTGTCCCACATTTTTGTTGCGTGTTCTATACAGGTATTTAAACTCTTTGTTTTTAGTTCTGCTGGAGAAGAAGTAAACCGTATTCATTCTGATGTTGGTTTTACTAGAAAAGGGAAGCTTAAGATCACATGGGGTCCACTGGCCCCAACTAACTCTCAAAAAACATGGGATTTTATTTTCTTAGAGTTCTCTTGCCATTGCTTTTTGTTTGTTTCAGATGAACCGAAACTTAGCAAACCATGTTTTCCCTTTAACACATTTCTTTTATATAGATGTCTTATTTCTTTGTCGCTTGAGTTTCTAACTCCCAGCAAGTAAATAGAGCCCCTTAAAATCAGTGTCTGTCTTTCTGTGCGTACGTCCCCTCACTGTATTTGTAGCTTTCAAGTGTTGCTGTACAGGTGTTTCTAGTCTCTGAGGGGTGTGGCTCTGCTTGCTTTCAGGCTGTGATAATGCCATCATCATCTGGAATGTGGGGACAGGGGAAGCCCTTATAAACTTGGATGATATGCATTCAGATATGATTTACAACGTGAGCTGGAACCGGAATGGCAGTCTGATCTGCACAGCTTCCAAAGACAAGAAAGTGAGAGTAATCGATCCTAGGAAACAAGAGATCGTTGCTGTAAGTATGCTTAGGATAAACCCCCCCATCTTGGTACCACTTCAGTGAGTGTGAACTTGTTAAGGCAGGCTATAGAGGCCTCGCCCCTGGTCAGCGGAGCCTTGTGGGCAGATGCCGGACCGTGAATCCACAGAGCTTTATATAGGCTTCTGCCTTCCAGCCACCCTCCAGAGCTGGGCATTCTGGCATTTACACAAGTCTTACCTCTCGCTTGGTGACCATTTTTCACAAAGAAACAAATTTTTTTATCAGTTCACTAGAGGCCTTGAGAATTTACAAGTCTAGATCAGCTAACCTAAACAGTTAACTGCATTCCTGGCTTAGTGCTCAGTACTGATCCCCGCCTCTTCCTGTAGCCATCGTCAGAGTACCTCACAGAGATGCCACAGGTTCTCTTTAGCTCAGTATCTCAGTTTCTGCCACTCAGAGTAGGCCTCAGCAGACAGAAGGTGGGCATTTGGGACTTGAGCTGGGGTTGAAACAGCAGGTGCTGGATCCCAGAATGTCTTGCATCAGCCCCGGTCTCTGGTCCTGCATTTGCCTCACTCTGGAAGGTGCTGGTTCTTTGGCAGATTTACCTCTTAAGAGTTGGGTGGCTGTTGTGACTAGTGCTTACTGAGCAGTGGGGACTTGCCCGACTTTGCGCCAAGTGCTTTCTCCACTAGAACCTTCCAGGGCTCACTACTAGTGCACTCTCAATGAACAAATGAAATTAAGGAAGGGGGTTAACTGAACTAGACTTCCTTCTGTCCAATGAATTTGGTAGAAGCCGTAGGGTATATCCAACTTCCAGGTTATCTTCTTGAGAAACGGACATCTGGCAGTCCTTTCATGTTTTTTATTTTTGCAGGGCATGGACTTGGGTTGGCAGTAAGGGCATGGTGAAGGAGTGAGGCTTTTGAGTCAGCTCCTGGCATCTTTGCTTGCTCACTAGCTGATGGACCTTGGCCAAATTACATAGTCTCTGTTTTTTCATCTTGGGAGGAAACTTACACACACACACACACACACACACACACACACGTGCATGCCTGGTAATCTGAACGGCATGGGGGCATGGGTTGGATTTAGTGTATGAGCCCCCACTCTCCCACCCCACCCCACCTCACCTCACCTCACCTTTCTTGCAGTTTGAATATAATATGCATATTATTCTTGGTCCCCCAGGAGAAGGAGAAAGCACATGAAGGAGCAAGACCCATGAGAGCCATCTTTCTGGCTGACGGGAATGTCTTTACCACTGGTTTCAGCCGCATGAGTGAGCGGCAGCTGGCTCTCTGGAATCCGGTATGTCCCTTCCCAGCCTTTCCACTGGTTTATACTTGCGATTTCTCTCTTTTCTGAGCAGGTCTTTGGGTGGGTAAATGGATTATAGGATTCTTAGTGTAGTTTTCTGAACTCCTGCTGGTCTTAAATTGGGTGGACATTCTCATCCTCACTGGAGACTTACTGCTTAAATGTATTACAAAAATGCATTCTTGATCCTCTCAAGTAGTCTCTGTTGACTACATTTTTTAAAAAAGAATGCACAAAAAAGCCAGTGTTTGGAACTTGGAATTTATTCCAATTTCCGAATTTATTTTATAAAGAATTTGATCAAATGTGTAATCAAAATAGTCATGCTTAGGAAAATGTTGAGAATAGCATAAGTGAAAAAATAACAAAACTGAATATACAGTATGATCTCAGTCTCTGTGTGTGTTGGAAGGAAGGAAGTAGACAAAAACGGTCATTTTTTTTGCTACCCACTGGACGGTGGGATTATGGAATATGGGATGATTTTTATGGTCTTTCTGTAACTTTAACAAAGAATGTGTATTTGCAATAAGAAACATTTCTTTTAAAAAAGAAAATGGGGTGCCTGCCTGACTCAGAGTGTGTGACTCTTGATCTCAGGGTCATGAGTTCAAGCCCTACATTGGGCATAGAGCCTATTCTAAAGAAATACATTTTTTTAAAAAAGTAAAAGAAAAAGAAAAAAAAAAATAGCCACAAAGGACAAGGGCCGTCTGTCTCATCTTTGTCATGGAATCACACCAGTGTGTACATTGATGTTGTCAAATTGACAGTTTTCAGTGGGTTGGAAAATCGGTATTTATGTGTTTGAGTTGGCATCTACATGTATGAATATTATATGTGCATTGTTAAAGCTTCATTACTCTAGGAAATTGCTCAGGTAATTGGGGATAAAAGAATGATTCCCCTTGTAAAGTATATGTATACAAATATATATATTTGTATCTTTTTCCCAGAAAAATATGCAGGAACCCATTGCTCTTCATGAAATGGACACTAGCAATGGGGTATTGCTGCCCTTCTATGACCCTGACACCAGTATCATTTACTTATGTGGAAAGGTAAACAGTCCTTTTAATGTTTCATATTAAATTTAATCTTGTAAGAGGAAAAGTATCCTTCAGAGATTTAGTAGATGGGCAGTGCTTTATATCACTTTAATATTTTAATTTGTCGGATTTCTGTGTGTGTCTTAAGCTAAAATAAGGACCAGTGATTTTGGTGTGTTTTCAGTCTTGAGACTGGACCCTTTGAACTTGTCACTTGTGTGGTGATAACATACTGTGTTCAGGACTTCTGACTGCAGTAGGGATGGGGCTCTGGTGTTGGGGCAGATGCTGACAGGGATAGCTTTGCTCAGGCGCTCTAATGAGAAAGAGGACACGCTGATGTCCTTTCACCTCTGGTGCCGTGGGATCCGGAATTTTAGATTGCTCTGTAATGGTGTGATGAATGAGTAATGAGGTCGCCCATCTAATGCTGAAATCCGCTGAGGAGCCCTCCGTCGGCATGTAGGTCCTTACACCACATGCTGCGGACTTGTAGGGAGAATAGTGCTTTGTGGATAGGAGCTTTTGAAAGCCTCAGAGATGCTCCAGGATGTTTTTCTTGTTCCTGGAGCTCAGCATTAGGGCCCTGAGCTTGAAAAGTATGTGGTCTGCCTAGTTTCAGAAGGTGACACTTGTTACAGGAAGACCCCACACTGAAATCAGAAAGCCTACCTTCCTGCCTTCCAGTCTCCCTAACTACAGTGTTGCTAGATTGATGATGATGATGATTTCTTTTTAGTGGGCAGTAACCTGAAAGTTCCTTATTCTTTCGTAGGTTCCGTTTTCCTTAGAATTGCTGTAGTTGAAATAAATGAATTAATGCAACTGGAGCTGTTGATGTATTTGCCCCAAACCTGTTAGATGGCCCCTTGCTAGGTAAAGCCAGATATGTCTCACTTCTCATAGTTGACTGAGCATGCTCTACATTGTCATAGATCAGTTGCTTAGAAACTGGGGTCTTGTCTGTTTCCTGGAAAGTCATTTTACTTCAGATGTTCACAGCTACCATAGAGTACATCAAAACAAATAACAGGAGCGGTTACCCAGATATTATTAACATGAGGTGGAAGGTTGTTTTGAGTATGCAGGAAACAGTCTGTGTTTAGCTTTTTCACCATTGCTTTAGATATTTACATCATTGAAGCAAGTAGAAACCATGCAAAATGAGAGACTTGAAGGCAAGGGCATAAAACTGCCTGGTTATTTATATCACACGCACACGCATACATACCAAGCATGCTGCTTCTGGCAGGCAGCCTTGCCTTCATTGTTCAGGTTGGTATAATTGTGTGACAGTTATACTTGGAGAGACTATCATATGCTTCAGATCTTCAAAAACATCTGACCTTTCTAAGCAAATGTGTCACAGAATTTGACACATGGTTACGAGAGAGCACTGCCTTCGGAAGTTAAAGGATACTCATGTTTTAGTGAGTATCTTAATTATGAATTAAGAATTACTATGAGTTAAGAATAGTGAATTAAGAATGATTTAAGAGCTGTTTATTCTTAATGTTTCTGAATTATAAAAATCTTACTTTTTATAGTCATCTGATTGGCCGATGTCAGTGCCCTCAGGCCTGTGAACGACACCATTCTGTTGCCAGTGAGAATCAGTCACTGCCTTCTCCACAGTCCAGACTTCTGTTTGTTCTTTGAAGTTGAATTGCAGTTGCAGTTGCATGGCCAGAGGTGTTGACATTTTTGCCCTGACTCCGACTTAGTGTCTAGGCTCAGTAGAGCCAAATTCGAGGCTTTAGCAGGAGGCGGAGGAGACCGTTTGAAGGACATTCTAGCATCTGATAAGTGAGGGCTTGCCTTGCCAGGAAGAGCAACCATCATATCCTCTTCCTCTGAAGAGAAGGCAAAGGTTGGCCACTGAGGCGGAGTCCCGGTTAATGCGGGGTTTAGAGGGGAGAGAGACCCCACTTCAACCAGATGCTTTAAGTAACATTCAGCGTGAACTTGTCTTTGATTTCTCGTAGGGTGACAGCAGTATCCGCTATTTTGAGATCACAGATGAATCCCCGTACGTCCACTACCTCAACACATTCAGCAGCAAGGAGCCTCAGAGAGGGATGGGCTACATGCCCAAGAGGGGACTCGATGTTAACAAATGTGAGATTGCCAGGTAAAGAGTCGGGCTGGTAAAGTCTTCAGATTGTCTGTGCCGCCTGCTTCACAAGAGCAGTACCTCCGCCAGTCGTGCCTGGAGCCAATCTGTGTGCCCTTTATGGTGGCGTGGACTTGGTATTTCGTTTCCTGCCCACACTTAGGAACACGGAGTTTTATTTACTTTTTAAGAAGATTTTATTTATTCATTTGAGAGAGAGAGAGAGAGAGAGAGAGAGACAGGAGAGAGCACAAGCAGGGGGAGCAGCAGAGGGAGGAGGAGAAGCAGACCTCCAGCTAAGCTGGGAGCCTGATGTGGGGCTTGATCCCAGGACCAGGAGTTCATGACCTGAGCCGAAGGCAGACTACTCAGGTGCCCGGGAACATGGACTTCTACAACAGTGAAGAACCTTTCAAAATCATTTACTTGAATTGTGCCCCTCCCCAGTCTTCAGACTACATAACCTGCGGTGCATCAATTAGCCGAGGCGCACTGCGGACTTACGCAAATACTGTAGCCTTCATCTCTTGTCTTCAGGCTGAGGCTGTGGCCAGTGTCCCTGGGAAGCAAGCAGGGAGAGCCTGCCCCTGGGATGGAAAGAAGAGATGGTTTTTCTGCCCTGTTGGGGGACAAACAGGTTCCAAACTGAATTGTAGACCTCGTGGATCCTGTTAGAGAAACCAAAGACCGATAGCTGGGTTTTGGGTTAACTTGATTCAGGAAGTTCAGCTGTGTTACAGAATTCCTGCCTCTCTACCCCTGTGGATTTTTCAGAATTTTATATTGCATAATGCTAGTGGTCTTCCTAAGGGATAGGCCTTTTTCTCCTCCTAGTCAACAAAAGATAGTCCCTGAGACTCATGAATGACTGTCCATTTAAAACAACAGAATGACTAGCACTGCACTATCAGGCCTGTGGTCATACCGCACATTTGTAGAAAACTATATTTCTTCATTTCTTTTTTTTTTTTTTAATTTTTTAGAATTTATTTTAGAGAGAGCGCTCACATGCAGCGGGAGGGGCAGAGAGAGAGAGAGAGAGAGAGAGAGGGAAAGACAAAGATCTCAAGCAGACTCCCCACTGAGTGCAGAGCCTCACGTGGGGCTTAATCTCATGATCTTAAGATCATGATCTGAGCCAAAGTTGAGAGTCGGGCACTTAACCAACCAAGCCACCCAGGTGCACCACAATACTGCATTTCTATGGACATCTGCCTAACCATGCTGTCCTAGTCACATAAGTAATACATCTTTGAAAAACAAAAATAATTTTTTTTTAATACATTTAACTCTATACCTGGAGTTAGTGAAGGAAAGCTGTCACAGATAATTCAAAATTATGGTGTAAACCAATCTCCTCAAAATATGGTTCAAAATAGATTGAATCCAAACTTAAGATTGCCTCCAGTATTTGGGAAGGCCTTTATTTTACTGTCATCTAACAGTTGAAAAGACTATAAGCACAATCATTCAGGACACCTCCTACGTAGGAAGTGTTTCTTGAGCATTCGTTAGATGCTGGGCGCTGTGCTGAACATGCTGCCGTGCTCGGTCCTTGAGCTGCCTGGCAGTCCCAGGGCAGTCTTTTTTTTACCGCCAAGCTGACTGCAGAGGTTCCCACTCTTCCCACATTTTGGATAATTTCAAATTTTTCTTGAGCGTTAGACATGGTGTGGTTAACTTGGATGCCAAAATTTTAATCTTAAGATTGTTTTCCTTCTTAAAAATCCTCTTTATGCTGACAGATGTTCAGTCACCTCTAGTTGGCAGAAGACCTGGCCTCCAAGTCATAGATCGTTGCTGTCTGATATTGGGTGTTTGCTCTCTCCTGACTGCTGACTTGGTGACTTCTCCAGAAGTGACTCATTGTCAGTGGTGGAGGTTCCACCATGGCAGGTCAGCCCCCAGATGACTGGGGTTGGACCATCCCCAGAAGCACAGACGGAATTCTCCTGGTTCTTGTTTCTAGTCCACCATTTCCTAGCACAGTTTCTCTTGGCTTCTCTTTTTTCATCTGGAAAATAGGAACACAAAATGTACCTGTTCCCCTGGTAGATCTGCTAAGGTGATAGGCAAAGCATTTCGTATCCCATACAGCAATGTAGAAGATTAGTTTTTGGTCAGGAAGCCTGTTATCTGGCCTCCTGTTTCACTTAATACAACTTTGCCTTTATTTCCCCCTTGAAGATTCTTCAAACTTCATGAGAGGAAGTGTGAGCCTATTATCATGACTGTTCCCAGGAAGGTAAGTGCCCAGTTTCCTAGGCAATTCATGTTTAAAAAGATTTTTAAAATTCCAGGACTGTCTTCCTAAGGATTTTCCCAAAATGTCTCTGTAGTCCGACCTTTTCCAAGATGACCTGTATCCTGACACAGCGGGGCCTGAAGCAGCACTGGAGGCAGAGGAGTGGTTTGAGGGGAAAAATGCAGATCCAGTCCTCATCTCCTTAAAGCATGGATACATTCCTGGCAAAAACCGGGATCTCAAGGTGGTCAAGAAGAACATTCTGGATAGCAAGCCCACTGCAAATAAGAAGTGTGACCTGATCAGTGTCCCCAAGAAAACCCCAGACACGGCTAGTGTGGTAAGGACTGCAGGAGCTGGAGAGTGAGCTTGGCTGGCTCAGGGCTTTTACTTATTTTTTTAAAGATTTTTTTTCTTTTTAAGATTTATTTATTTATTTATTTGGCAGAGGGGGAGAGAGAGCGAGATCAAAGTAGGCAGAAAGGCAGGCAGAGAGAGAGGAGGAAACAGGCTCCCTGCTGAGCAGAGAGCCCGATCTGGGGCTCCATCCCAGGACCCTGGGATCATGACCTGAGCCGAAGGCAGAGGCTTTAACCCACTGAGCCACCCAGGTGCCCCTTTTATTTTTTTTTTTTTAATTTATTAAGAGAGAAATCACGGGCAAGGATGGGGCAGAGGAAGAAGCACAGTCCTTGCTGAGCTGGGAGCCTGATGTGGGGCTCTATCCCGGGACCCTGGGATCATGAACTGAGTTGAAGGCAGACGCTTTAACAGTTGAGCCACCCAGGTGCCCCAGGCTCAGGGCTTTTAGTGAATGAGAATGAGAATTTTTAAGAACCTTCTTGGTCACATGACGTTTATGAGCTTGTGGCCACTTTTGGCTCCTTTAGCTGTGTTTTTTATAATGACCAGGGTAGAAGTCAATCTACTACCATCTTAGAGAAAGAGTGAGTGAGAGAGAGAGAGAGAGAGCAAGCAAACATGAGTTAGGGGCAGAGGGAGAGGAAGAAGCAGGCCCCTGGCTGACCAGGGAACCTGATGTGGTGGGTTCAATCCCAGGACCCAGGGATCATGACCTGAGCTGAAGGCAGACACTTAACTGACTGAGCCACTAGGTGCCCCTGCTTGGGTATTTTCTTAACTGTTTCTCCCCCCATGTTTACATTGATGTCTGATTGGGGTAGAAATGAAACACAAGAATGTGGGGCTGCAGTTGCTGGAAAGAGAAGGTCCCAGGAAGGGGAAAGCGTGGTAAGAGGGTTCAGGAGTGCTTGGTGTTACGGAGAAAAGCATCTGGTGGTGAGTGAGACTAAGCAGCAAAGATGATCTTGGGCTTCTTGGCAAGAACCATTTCAGTGGAGTGGTGGGAACCAAGAGCCTGATGTAGGAGACCTGCATGGCCCCTGGGGGGTGCTGCTGCTGCTGGGGGAGAACAGGGTCTAGCTAGGGAGGACAGGGTGTGCGTGGGGAGTTGGTGGGAGTAGAGCAGGATCCCAGGGAGCCAGAGGAAGGGCAGTGAGTTGTCAGTGAGAAGGTGCATGGAATGAAGAGCCAAGGTGCCTGGAGGAGATGCCTCTTTGGCCGTGACTGAGGAAACCACGTGGGGTGCCATGGCTTGCAGGGTTTCCAAATGAATCACCTCCACCTGGGAGAGACTGAGTCCTCTTCAGAAGAGTTCTAGCAAGCAGGGCAGGGGGTTTAGCTCCTAAGAAGGACCCTTCCTGGGAGATGGTAGGAGCTCTGTAGCTTCACCTCTGACCCAGGTCACATAGACTTTACTCCTTATGGGGTGCCTGGGTGGCTCAGTCGTTAAGCATCTGCCTTCAGCTTGGGTCGTGATCCCAGGGTCCTGGGATCCAGCCTTTTTTCGGGCTCCCTGCTCAGTGGGAAACCTTCTTCTCCCTCTCCCACTCCCTCTGCTTGTGTTCTCTCTCTTGCGGTGTTTCTCTCTGTCAAATAGATAAATAAAATCTTAAAAAAGAAGGAAAGAATTTACTCATGACATTGCATGGGGTGGCTGGGCTGTGGGGCAGCCCTGGAGGGATTGGTCCTGTCCCACAGTTTATGTCCTGAGTCTCAGTGCAGGTAAGTGCCCAGGCACAGGGAGTGGGTGCAGCGCTGTGGGAACCTGGTTCTGCTGTGGGCTGCAGGTGGACTGACCAGCCGACAGGTGGCCTTCTCTTCGAAGGCCCAGTTTGGTGCCTGTGGCTTGCCACTTCCAAAGTAGAAAATTAGATTGTATGCCTTATAAATTCTCAACTGTGGTAAGGTTCATTTACTGCGTTTTAGTAACCTCTTGTCTCTCCATCCTCCCTGCCACCGTCTTTTCTGGTTTCCTTAGCAAAACGAAGCCAAGTTGGATGAGATTTTAAAAGAGATCAAATCTATAAAAGACACAATCTGCAATCAAGATGAGCGCATTTCCAAGTTAGAACAGCAGATGGCGAAGATCGCAGCCTGAAGGCCCACCCCCAACCCCCACAATGGGAGCAGGAACCTGTGCTTGGCAGCTGGTTGTTGGCGTGGTCCCAGGGAGGGCGAAAGGGAGGCACTGCCATTCGGAGACATTCCGTGTCACATTTGTCAACCAGCGATAGGCCACATTCCAGTAAGAACTCAATTCGTCTCCCAAATTTGCAGAAACAAAATGTGATTTAAAAGCTGAGCTTTTTATCAGAAAGCTTTTTTGATGTTTTAAGTGTTATGTGACTTGTCGAACTTTTAAAAGACAAAAGTGCTACTTTTAAAATCCCAGATACTCTGAATTTTAGAAAACCAACCAATTCTGATTCAGTGTCGTGCCCAAGTACCTTTTTTTTATAAACAGGGACCAATGCCACATTGCTTTTTGTATTTCTTTTTTTTTAATGTTGCCAAAACCAAAAGTAGCTTTCTTCCCCCTTGTATTTTGCTACTTTGCAGTATTTGTGTGTGGTTTTTTTTTTCCTTAATTTGAAAGGGACAGCACTGTGTATGTTTATAAACTAAATGAAGATATTATTTTGTATACACATTCATCTGAGAACAATCAGAGCAGTAGCCACATGGTGCTGGCTCGTTTGCAGCACAAACCTGGTCATCCTCATGACTACAGAAGGAAGACTTGAAAAATCACGTGGGTTCGCATCACCACCCTCTCCTTTAATGGAGTCTCTGATCAAAAAAGCTCCTATTGTATTGCTTCCTTTCTTCCCTTTCTCTTTTCTAGAAACTGGGTGGTTGTACCAGAATGGAATTTCACTTCTTGGTTATCCTGTGCTTCAGATGATTATAATCTAACCTAAACTAGCATGTGTTTCTGCAGTTTTGTTATACACATAGAATCTATTGCATTAATCACTTTAAACATCATGTTTCAGGTTTCGGTCAATACTTGACAAGGGTGCAGGGGACAAAAAGCCACAGAAGCCACTGTGGAGTGCTCCCTCTTGCCCATTCAGCAGCTTGCCTAGCTCTTGAGTACAGTAGGGGACTAAGACCTAGGGAAACTGAAGGGGAGTGCGTGCCCTCCCTCGCCCCCCGTGATCCTCTGCTCTCCTGCACATCCCATGGCGTCCCTATGCTGTGCTGGAGGCGGCAGCAGCTCTCCCTGCACCACTGGAGCCCCTGCCCTTCCCGTGGTCTCATGGATGCAGCCACCTCTCTCAGGGCTCCCCCAGCCAGTCCTTCTGTCCTCCCTGCCTTTCAGCCCTCCCCACGTTCAGCTAAGAGGAGGCTGGAGGGCACTATTGAATATTGAGAGTGAGGAGAACGGTCTAGCATGATGCAAGACCAGGGGGTCAAGGCTCTGCTGCAGTGGTAATGTGTACAGACCTGTCCCTTCGCGCGTTCTCCACACAAACCAACCTGCCGTGCCCCTCCAGCGCACACAGAGGCTCCCCAGACGCAGGGGCCAGCTACTGAGCTCTGATGACCTGTTCCATTCCTAAGTTATCCTGAACTTCTCTCCCATTTCCATGTTCTCGTTTTGCATGCTTGAGGAACAAGATTTAAGGAATCTCTGGGAAAGGCTGAGTGCGTGTGGTTGAAGACGAAACGTATAGTGCCAGTGGGCCCACCCAGGGGCGCGCTCGTGCCTGTTCCTGCCGGTGTGGGATGGGACTGGCGGGGAGCATCTGTAACTGGGAGCCAGGATGGAGGTGGAGTGTGGCGACAGTGGGTTGGAATGCCCGGCCAAGCTGGGGCTAATGTCTGTGTAGGACAGGTACCGTGTTTTTACCCAGTATGGGGATTGCTGTCTCCACAACTTCTGAATGTTTGATGTGGTTTTGTGTGTGTGTGTGTGTGTGTGTGTGTGTGTGTGTGTGTGTGTGTAATACTGGAGTGGATAATGTGATGTGAGGAAAACAATAATCACAGTGACTTATACTCAAACCTGTACATGTTTCTTTATCAACGTAATCTGCTGAGGACCTTCATTTTTAAGATTGAGAAATGTTTTAAGGTTCTGATACCAAATTAAGTAAAGGAAACTGTTGATGGTGGTGGAACACCATAGCGAATGTGGTTCAAAGAGAAGACAGAGGGCAAGGAGAAATTACCCTGATCTTAGTGTGTAGCTTATGACTTATTTAATGAACGGATGCCCAGCCAGGCTTGGAGTCGGCGCCTGAAGCTTTGTGGATTATTCTTCCTGTTGTGTCTTTTCCTTTTTTTTCCCCCTTCTTTTTCTTTTTAAAGCCGTGCTATCCCAGAGGAAAACCAGTGAATTACTCCTAGATCGGCTCTTATAGAGCAGCCATAGTATTCTGTCAAAACACTTGCTTCCATTTTCAAAGATAAAAAGTCATTGATTACAAAATGGTGTCCGTGTTTATTTCACACCCCAGCTGTCTCTGAGGCAGCTCACAGCCTCTGTGACTCAGTGGAACCAGCTGTGCGACTGTTCCTCACTAAGGGTGAGTACAGGGGAGGTAGGGTGGACCGCTGCACTCCCACACCAGGGGAGGTCGAGTCGGGTATAGTGGAGTGAGGGCTCTGTGCCGGGTTCTAGCAGGCCTCCAGCTTTTACCAGGGGTGGGATCTGGGGAAGATGATCTCATCTTGAGGCATCTCTTTCCCTGCTTTGAAGGAGGGATACGAATGCCACGTCACTCGGAAGAGAGATACCCGCACCTGGCCACACAGAGAGCCCTCGCCACTGCGCTTGGCTCACAGTGTGACTGCGACCAGCTGAGTCCCTGACCGTGCCTTTGAAAGCTTTGCTTCTTCAGTACAAGTACGGCCCTCTCGGCTTCGCTGTGATTTTTATTCCAGCAGAGGGTTTCAGGGTCATTTGAACTTCGTGGCCTTTTTAGCTTCCCTTTTTACAGCAAAATAGCATCTCATGACATTTCAGTGATTGTAGCAAGGAATCACCCACCCTTTGGTTTTTCCAAAGGTTTGTGAGCATGAATGACTGGCACAAAGCTCCCCCTCCCCAAGTGTGTTTTCCTGAAGTTGCTGTCATCTGTGAGGAGGACGGCAGCCGGCTTCGTGGTCAGCCTGTGGCTGCAGGAAGTAGAGTCGGCAGATGCTGTCTGTGCCCCTCCAGGATGCCCACGGTCAGGGGGTAGACACGTGTGCGCGGTGTTGACAACCAGCTTTCTTTCACTTCGGCTGCCTTGCTTCTATGCCAGAAGACCTAAAGGTCACCATGTCAGCCCCAGACGGCCAGCCAGGCCCCACTGAGGAAGGACTTCTGTTTTTCTAAAGGCTACTTCCCTTGCTGTTCTTGGTGTCCTGTGTCCAGAAAAACTTCTTGTTGGCTCTTAAGAATCTGTTAACTCTTAAGTGACCCTTCTTTTTCTGCTAGCATGTTAGAATATCATGAAGCCATCAGTGGGCTCGAATGTGAGTCATGGCCAAGGACACACCTTTCCCTCCTTAAGACAGGCAGTATTGGACAGTGCCCTTTGTTAAAGCCCTTTCCTTCGAGGCTGGAGGGGGTGTATGCTTATTGGCACAACTTTCCAGAGGGCAGTGTGACAAGGGACATCTGAAGTCTTCAAGGTCCCTACCTTTTGGCCCAGGGTTTTCACCTCTGGGAATTTTGCCCCAAGGAAACTAGTAGGGGAAGAATTAGCAGAGGAAAAATTAGTTTAGCAGGCTTGGTTAATTAACCAGCCCAGGACCCATAGCTTTTGACGAGCCCTCTTAAAGATCTACACACATACAATGTATATTTATGTGTTGAATAACACAAGTCTTGTTGCTATATGGAGGTACCAACTGTGGGTAAATTTTATTTAATTAGATTTTACTGAATTTCGTATTTCCCATAAATGCCCTATTCCCAGAGAGTTAAAATTAATGTATGAATGATGAGTTAGTGATCTATTGAAAAAAGCGCCCTAAATCCATGGGGGAAGGAAGTGGTGCAGAGCCATGAAGCAGCTCTGGGGGCGGGGACTCCGTAGAGCTGCCCAGCGACGCCTATGTATATTCCTGATCTGGTCAGTGGTTAAATGGAAGGAAACTATTTTCAAGTTTAGAAGAAAAATAAGTCCTTTTCTATCTAGATTTTAGTCTGGGGAGAACGTTTTAAATCACAAAGGAAAAACCAGATTGCTCCGTAAAAATCAAATCATACAAGATTTTTGAAATGTTGAAAAAAGTGAAGGTCATGGAAGCTGGGAAATAGATTTTTCAACCAACGTGACACGCAGCAATATGCGTTAATATTCTTTGTCTCGGCCCCCGCCGCCTGTTCTATCTGAAGGGGCGGCGCTCTCACCTCCCCAGTGGGGTGCGTCCGGCTATGAGGCCGAGTGGGCTGTTGGGCCGCTGGCGGCCGGCCTACCTGGCCCCAGGAGTTCAGCCTATCAGCCCGTCAGGAGGCGGTTTGAGGAGACTGCTAGGTGACACTAGTCAGAATGAGCTTTGTCCCCTGATGGCAGGTTTCTGGAAGAGATGGACTGGAGAAGTGGGGAGGGAGAAGTTGCTCCAGGTCCAAAAGTAGTCAAGGGTAGGGTGGCTGCCCAGTGTGTTCGGTTGGCTGAGCTGTGGAGAAAGGGGAGTTTAGAGAAGCTGCTGGAATCGGCAGCTCGGTGTAGCTTTATTGTACGCAATGCAGCCAGGTAAGAAAACCGATTTTAAGGGCCCAAGGTAGTAAGTGGGGGGCTGGGGGGTGGAGGTGTGTTCGGCTGAGGAGCGCGGCTCAGGTGACCAGAGAGCCCGGCCTGTTCCCGCTGCCCCGGAGCCTGGAGTCAGGGGACAAGTGAATCACTGGAGTGTGCTCGCTCAGGAGGGCAGAAAGCACGGTCTGTGAGCCAAACCACGGGGCGCTTGGCTCCTTTGAGTGGAGAGGCTTTCTCACACTGGTCTCAGACTGGGTATTTTTGGAAAGGATGACAGCGGTGGGTTTGCAGCAGCGCTGGAGAGCGGATTCAGGCAAAGGCCTAATAGGAGGCGGGAAAGCTTTGGGTCGAACGAGACCAGCAGTCATCGGTGTTGCAGAGGGAAAGCGAAGGAGCTCATGGGGTGCCCGGTGGTGTGTGCGGTGCAAAGCAAATGAAGTCCTTTCGCTGCAGTCCAGGTGATGCAAATAGACTAGTTTCAAGCAGTCACACCCAGGGTGCCTGGGGGCCCCGAGGGGCTGCAGGAGCTGAGGTGCTGGGTTGCCGGATGGAGCCTCACCTCCACCGGGTGCCCCTCTGGGCCCGAGCAGCAGGCCTTGCCCTCATCATAGCCCTGCTGTCGTTACTTCTCTCCACCCCCACCATACACACGAGTCGGGATTCTGCTGTCTTGGCGTTTAGCGGGTAAATAACTTCTTTTTCCGGTGAGGGTGTGAAAGTGCTGGAGAAAATGGTCGTCGAGCAAATGACCCAAGTGGTCCAGCTGTGTTCGGTGTGTGACTGAAGCTGTGTGCCCTGACGGTCGCGAAATCAGCCGCCAGTGTTTTAGCAACAAAATCCAAGCTTGTGGGCTGCACCGAGAGGTCTGAGAACTGGGAAGTTGCCCCATAAACAACAGGAAATTGTTGCAGGTTCATTTCCGTGCCAAGATGATACTTGGGTTGTCAGAGGTAGAAAAGGCACCTCATGGTTAACAAACTGTGAGACTGCATATGGCCCCCCTCAACTACAGTTGTCTGAAACAGGAAAAGGAGTTACCACCCTGGCCAGTTTCTGCTCAGGGCTGTGGATAAAAATGCCGCAAAAGGTGGCAAGGCGGAGAATTCCATATAGCCATCTGGGCACCTGCCAGAAACTTCCCCTTGTAGAGAGAACAGACCATTGTCTGAACAGCCTTGTAGCTGGTTCCTCTACCCCCACCCACCTGTTCCCTTTTTTGCTTCCAGAGTAA